TTAATGGTGGGGAGAATTCTAGCATTAAGTGAGATAACATAAAACAGAGATGTGGGCACAGGTTTGAGTCCTTTCACTTCGATCCTGCTCCCTGATAATGTGCCTGGGAAAGCAATGGAATATGGCCCAGTCCTTGGGCCTCTGCACCCATGTGAAAGACCCTGAAGAAGCTCCTGGCTCCTCGCTTCAGACTGCCCAGCTCCAGCCTGTGCAGCCATTTGGGGAGTAAACCAGCAGATGGAAGACCTCCCTGCCTCTGTAACTCTGTCTTTCAAATCAATCAATCAATCAATCAATCTTTAAAAAAAAAAAAAAACACACCAAAAAGAGGACATGCTATGGGGGGCAGAACCATGCCAGAGTTAAGAGAAGTAGACAGAATTCATGTATGAACTGTGTAATATAAAGAAAAACTTCAATATATGTAATATGCCAAAATGTTAACTACTGACCACTGGATGATTTAAGAGGTTGATAACTATTAGATCAAACCATATTCAATTTGTAGACATTCAGTTGGCTCAACATACAAAAACGGTAATTTCATATGGCACATCCTGATATGCTTTCCTTTGTATTTCTGTGCACACTTCACACAACTGTAAAAAAGGAAAAGATAAGGTCTATGATCAGAGAAGTTTCAGAACAGCAGGTATAGAGAAGTCCGAGTTTTGAGAGAGGACAAAACAGGTCACACCCCGATAAGCAGACAGAGTGTCTTAAACTTCTTGAATGCAACACTAAAAAGCACTGACTTCAAAGTACTGATGGGCAAACTAGAAAAGCTCAATAAAATGCATAAAACAACCACGTACAAGCATTTAGGAGCAACCAGTGCATGGTCAAAACTCCTAAAAGGAGTACATAATGAGGGTACCTCCAGAAGTTTGTGGAAAATGGAATTAAATTTTGGTATAGGCCGGCGCCGCGGCTCACTAGGCTAATCCTCCGCCTAGCGGCGCCGGCACACCGGGTTCTAGTCCCGGTTGGGGCGCCGGATTCTGTCCCGGTTGCCCCTCTTCCAGGCCAGCCCTCTGCTGTGGCCAGGGAGTGCAGTGGAGGATGGCCCAGGTGCTTGGGCCCTGCACCCCATGGGAGACCAGGAAAAGCACCTGGCTCCTGGCTCCTGCCATCGGATCAGCGTGGTGCGCCGGCCGCAGTGCACTGGCTGTGGCGGCCATTGGAGGGTGAACCAACGGCAAAGGAAGACCTTTCTCTCTGTCTCTCTCTCTCACTGTCCACTCTGCCTGTCAAAAAAAAAAAAAAAAAAATTTTGGTATAAAAATTTTGAAATCTGTGTACAATTTTTTCCATATATGCATTTCCATGAACTTTCTGAAGACCTTCATATATGAGGGAAGCCCCCACATTCACACTGATGCTGAAAGAACCACAAAAAATAACAATCTTGAATTTTACAGCCAGTATAATGCTCTCCAAAGTACTTTCTACCCTGACACAAAAGAATAGCGTTCAAGCAGAAATGAACGTTGCTGTATAGGTTATAAATAAAAATTGGTATTTGTGTCTGCAGAACAACTGGGATTTGGAGGCAAGGTAGTATGACTGTACTCTCCAAAAATTCACATTGGAATCTAATCCCCAGTGTAACACAATGGGAGATGCTGCCTTTGAGAGAGGGCTGGGTCGTGAGGTTTCCTCTCCCTCCTAAGTGGCATTAGGCACTCTCACAAAGGGGTTTGGAGGAGGAAACTCATTCCCTTCTTCACCCTTCTGCTTTAACACAGCATTCCTCTCCACCATGCCCCAAGAGGACACAGCATTAAGACACTATATCTGTAGACATAGTGAGTTAAACCACCATCTGCAACACTGGCATTCCACATAGCCACCAGTTCAAGTCCCGACTGCTCCACTTCTGATTCAGCTCCCTGCTAATGCACCTGGTAAAGCAGCAGAACATGGCCCACCCAGGTGCCTGAGCTCCTGCACCCACATAGGAGACCTAGGGGTAGCTTCTGGCTCTTGGCTTCTGATCAGCCCAGCTCCAGTCATTGTGGCCATTTGGAGAGTGACCAGCAGATGGATGTTCTTTCTCTCTGTCTCTCCCTCTCTCTGTAACTTTACCTCTCAAATAAATAAATACTTTTAAAAAATAAAATAAATAAGGGGCCAGCATTGTAGCCTAGTGGGTAAAACTGCCACCTGCAACACCACATCCCATATGGGTACCGGTTAGTGTCCCAGCTGTTCCACTTCCCATCCAGCTCCCTGCTAATGGCCTGGGAACAGCAGTGAAAGATGGCCCAAGTGTTTGGGCCCCTGCCACCCATATGGGAGAACCACATAACACTTGTGGCTCATGGCTTTGGCCTTGCCCAGCTCTAGTCATTGCAGCCACCTGGGGATTAAATCAGCAGACTGAAGATCTCTCTCCTTCTGTAACTCGTTCAAAGAAATAAATCTTTAAAAATAGATGAAGGGCCAGTGCTGTAGCGGGTAAAATCGCCACCTGTAGTGCCGGCATCCCATATTGGTGCCAGTTTGAGTCCCGGCTCCTCCACTTCCGATCCAGCTCTCTGCTGTGGCCTGGGAAAGCAGTAGAAGATGGCCCCAGTCCTTGGGCCCCTGTGTGGTGGAATGAGAAGGCCATGTCAAGGTGGCCGCTGGCAAGCGAGTGTCAGTTACTCAAGAATGGCTTTGAAACCCACCTGGCAATGGAGCCTGCCTGGCAACAGGCTGTGATTGGATGGCTTTGGAAACTGCCTGGCAACAGGCTGTGATTGGTTGGGGCATAGACTGCCCCTTGACCGGATTGGCTGGTCCTGGCTATATAAGCTGTTGTACTAACTGAAATAAATGAGTCTGTGGGCTGCTTGCCTCAAGCCCACTTTCACCCGACTCCTGGGGTCTGTGTGGTGACTCCGCGCCTCTTGCCCCCACCATGCTCCTCCTCTCAGAAATGAATCCACTGCAACATTGTTGAGAAATCAACTGCAACACCCCTGCACCTACGTGAGAGACCCTGAAGAAGCTCCTGGCTCCAGATCAGCTCAGCTCTGGCTACTGTGGCCATTTGAGGAGTGAACCAGCAGATGGAAGACCTCTCTCTCTCTCTCTCTCTCTCTCTCTCTCTCTCTAACTCTTTCAAATAAATAAATAAATCTTTAAAAAATTAGATAAGGAAATAAAACTAATTTTAAAAATTAGATTAAATGAATAAGGACATTGTCTATGCTGTGATGGCTTCAAGAATGTTACAGAGAGGCCACCACTGTGGTGTAGTAGGTTACGCCTCAGCCTGTGGCCCAGGCATCCCATATGGATGACTGGTTTGTGTTCCGGCTAATCCTCTTCCAATCCAGCTCTCTGATAATGGCCTAGGAAAGCAGTGGAAGATGGCCCAAGTCCTTGGGCCCCTGTACTCACATGGACGCCCAGAAGAAGCTCCTGGCTCCTGGCTTCGGATTGGCCTAGCTCTGGCCGTTGCAGCCATACAGGGAGTGAACCAGCAGATCGAAGAGTTTTCTCTCTGTCTTTGTCTATAACTTTACCTCTCAAATAAATCAATCTTTCTTAAAAATAATTAAAAACTAACCTAATTAAAAATGGGCAAAAGATGTGAATAGACATGTCACCAAAGAAGATAGATGGCAAATAAACATTTAAAAATAAATATATGAAAAAAGATGCTCAATCAACATCATGGCATCAGAGAACCATCAAGTAAAACGATATTAAAAGGCACTTGCTAGACGTAAAACCCAGAACACGACAACACCAACTGCTGAGGAAGATGTGGAGCGTCAGGAACGCTCACTCGCTCCAGCAGGAACGTAAGATGGCACAGCCACCTGGAAGACGGCTCGGCAGTCTCTTACGGAATAAGACATGTCCTTATTCTATGATCCAGCAATCATGGTCCTGGGTATTTACCCAAATGAGTTGAAAATTAATGCCACACAAAAACCTGCACACAGATATTTATGACAGCCTTACTAACTGCCAAAACTTGGAAGCAACCAAGACGTTCTTCAACAGTGAGTGGATAAACCACATTCATCCACCCAATGAAACAGTACTCAGTGCTTAAAAAGAAACTAGCTCTCAAGCCATGTACCTCTATCTTAAGACCACTAATTTGACAAGGTGACCCACTGCATGTCTCTAACCATATGATTCTAGAAAAGACAAGACTAGGGACATGAGATAGTAAAAAGACTCGTGGTTGACAGGGGCTTAGGTAGAAGGAGAGAACAGGTGGAACACAGGATTTTGGGGGGCAGAGAAACTATTCTATAACATACTACAATGGACGATACATGTCAAAATACCTCTGTCAAAGCCCACAGAATGTACAACACAGACTGACTCCTAATGGAAACTATGGACCCTATAAAGTATCAATATTGGCTCATCAAGTGTGACAAATATGACAGATTAGTTCAAAACAACAATCGGGGAACCTGTTGAGTGCCGTGGTGAGAGATGGGGCATATGTGAACTCTCTGGCTTCCCAATTTTCTGTAAATCCAAAAGTGCCCTAAACAATGAAGCCTATTAATTAAAAACAAAACACAAATAAATAGAGCAGTACGACTCATACACTGTTATATATTTGTGTAAATATGTACCGATAATAACAAAAAAAAAACCTACTCAGGAAAGCAATGACAATGAAACCCACAGAAAGTAGAGACAAAATTTAAATACCCACCCATTCTACATGAACTATCCACAGAAAACCTGCTTAATTTGGGTTTTTGTTTCTGTTGATACTGTCCTCAACAGCCCAAAACATCATCCATGTGAAATCCATAAAATCTGTTCATATCTAAAGTAGAGAACCAGAGAACTGGTATTCATAATCAATGCAAGACATTTAACTCCGTTTGCTTTCCAACTGCTGGTACCGACCAGTTATTCTTGCTACGTCTTCAGGTTAACTCACATATACCTTCCTTATTTTATTTTCCAGCTCATTATAAACATCCTGGAATGCACTGAAAAACAAAATGGGGAATAAACAAACAACTCACCTGGGATTTGTTCATTTTCTGCAGTTTTTGAGTAAAGGCAGAGAACTAGGAAGGCAGAACTGGAATAGAGGAAAAAGGAAGGAACTGTTATTAAAGATCTGACCTGCCTCACACCGCGGCAGTAACCTGTTTAGAATCCCTACACAGCACTTGGGGAATCCCCACCTCCTAGGAGTCCCCTGGCCTCTGCAGAAGGAGAGAAAGCATCACACAGTCCGCATCCACCTTCAATCAAACAGGAGAACCCCAAAAAGGCAGACTAAAGCCACCAAGTGAACAAAACAATCAACCGAACCCTCCCTGCTGAAAAGATCAGACAGTGAATTTAAAGCAACTATAATTCATATGCTAAAAATTTTAATGGAAAAGGTAGGCAACATCAATGAACACATGGAATTTCAGCAGAGATGGAGATTCTAAGAAAAGCATAATAACAGAGATGAAGGAATACCTTCAACAGGCCATTAGTAAATTCAACAGAACTAAGCAAAGTGTCAGTAAATCTGATATAGGTCAAAAGAAATTCTAAAACTAGAACAAAAAGAAATGGAAGGGGGAAAAAGTCTAAACCAAAGGGGCTGTGGCACAGTATCAAATGGTCCAACAAACAGGTAATCAGAATTCCAAAAGAAGTAGTATTTGAAGACACAAAGACGTAGAATTTTCTAAAAATGATATCCATCCAGAGTAGCTCAGAAAATCTGCACAAATGGATTAAACACCAAAACACACATAGACACATCTTATCCAAAGCTCTGAAAACCAAGGCTGAATTCCCACAAGCAGCCAAGAGGAGTCAAGATACAGCATCGCAGCCCTTTCTCATCACAAACTGCGCCAGCCAGAAGACAGGGTGGTGGCATATTTAAAGTGCTGTAAGGAAAACAAACAACTAAAGCAAAAAGCCATCAACCCAGAATTCCACACACACACACACACACACACACACACAATGTGAAAATATGTAAAATTTTACGTGTCAATCGAGTTTTCTAAAACAATAAAATGACATAAAAGCCTTTTCAAACAAAACCAGAATTCATTATCAGACCAAAGCCACAAGAAATCTGAGAGAAGCACGGATCTACATTTAAAAAAATGACCTATGGGGATGGTCAAATTAAGGTAAGTAAAAAAGATGTCTTTTGGCCGGCACCGCGGCTCACTAGGCTAATCCTCTGCCTGTGGCGCCAGCACACCGGGTTCTAGTCCCGGTCGGGGCGCCAGATTCTGTCCCGGTTGCTCCTCTTCCAGTCCAGCTCTCTGCTGTGGCCCTGGAAGGCAGTGGAGAATGGCTCAGGTCCTTGGGCCCTGTACCCCCATGGGAGACCAGGAGAGGCACCTGGCTCCTGGCTTCGGATCAGCGCGGTGTGCCAGCCACAGCACGCTGGCCGCTGCGGCCATTGGAGAGTGAACCAACGGCAAAGGAAGACCTTTCTCTCTGTCTCTCTCACTGTCCACTCTGCCTGTCAAAAAAAAAAAAAAAAAAAGATGTCTTTCTAATCACTCTAAAAAATAAAAAACAACTATCTAAAGCAAAAATAATAACAATTTGTGGGTTTACAGCACACTTAAAAGTAATATGTATGACAACAATAGCATAATGAGATTGAAAGAATGTTATTAAGTATATATAAATAAATATCCATGATGCTTACTGTAAACACTAGCACAATTGATAAAATTTTTATAAAAATTTTCACAATGATCAGTAAGTCAATATTGGAGATAAAATGGAATCATAAAAAGTATCCACTTACATCAAAAATAGGAAGGAAAATAGGAACAAAGACCAGACAGGACATATAGGAAACTACTAGTAAGATGATAGATTGTAATCCAATCATATCAGTAACTGGCATAAACATAGCAATTGAACAAGAGGTCACATTAGATACAAAAGCAAGACCACAATAGCTGCTGTGTATAATCAGCTTGTTCTAAAAACAAAAACATAACTAAATTAAAAGTAAAAGAATGAAAAAAGGTACATTTTGCAAATACTCCTCGAAGGAAAGCTGGAAAGATTATATTAACATCAAAATTGACTTCAGAAGGGCTATTTCCAAGGATTAAAAAAATAACATCACAAAAGGTTTCTGGGGGAAAACCAGTAATATCACTTATGAATCAATGTGTCAAATCATCAAGAAGACATAACAATCCTAAAGGTATATGCTCCTAACAAAATCACTCTAAAATACAAGTATCAAAAATTGTAGAACTGAAAAAAAGTAGCTAAAAGCACAACTATAATTGGGCCCTTGAACACTTTCTCTCAGTATCCGACAGAACAGGCAGATAGAAAACCACAGACGCTGAGCGACCCCAGCTACTACCCCGGCCCATTCAATATTTAACAGAGACTCTGCCATCAGCAGCACAATATTCAAGTATACAGAAAACATTCACCAAGATGTACCCTCTTCTTAGTTATAAAACAGACCACAATAAATTTAAAAGACAGAAATTTATAATATTCTTTGGCCAAATCAGAATTAAGGTATAAATCAATAATAGAGATCTGCATACACTTCTAAGTAGTAATGAGTGAAAATGAAGTCACAGAGGGAGTTTTAAAAAATGGAACTGAATTGTAATGAAAACACTACAGAAAAAAATTGAGGGCCTGGCACTGTAGCATAGTGGACTAAGCCTCTGTCTGTGGCGCCGGCATCCCATATGGGTGGCAGCTCTAGTCCCGGCTGCTCCTCTTCTGATCCAGCTATCTGATCTCTCTGCTATGGCCTGGGAAAGCACTAGAAGAAGGCGCAAGTGCTTGGGCCCCTTCACCCATGTGGGAGACCTGGAAGAAGCTCCTGGCTTTGGATAGGCCTAGCTTTGGGCCATTGCGACCATTTGGGAAGCGAACCAGCAGATGGAAGACCTTTCTCTGTCTCCCTCTCTGTCACCTTACCTCTCAAATAAAAAAAAATAAAATCTTTTAAACAAACTTTTAAGTCTTAAGGGCTTTGAAAAAAATTGAGAAACAGCTAAAACAGATTTAGAGAGAAATTTTTAACATTAGAACTACCTCCCATATAGGCACAGGTTCGAGTCCTGGCTGCTCCATTTCCAATCCAGCTCTCTGCTATGGCCTGGGAAAGCAGTAGAAGATGGCCCAAGTTCTTGGGTCCCTGCACCCGCGTGGGAGACCTGGAAGAAGCTCCTGGCTCCTGGTTTCGGATCAGTGCAGCTCCAGCCACTGCGGCCAATTGGGGAGTGAACCAGCGGATGGAAGACCTCTCTCTCTTTGCCTTTCCTTCTCTGTGTTACTCTTTCAAATAAATCAATCAATCTTAAAAAAAATTATTTACATTGGGGAAAAAAAGGTTTTAATGAATGACCTCAGCTACCACCCTATAAAACCAGGAAAAAAAAAAGGACATTAAACACAATGAAACCAAAATCTGGTTATTGGAGAGATCAATACTACTAATAAATTTCTAGTAAAATTGGGCAAGGAAAAAAGGAGGACACAAATTACCAATATCTAGAACAGTCCAGGAGACATTACTACAGATGCTACAGATAGTAAGGAGGCATTCTTCAACAATAAAAACAATCAGCCACATCAATGAAGAAAACAGGAAAGAAAGGCCTAATATATAGAGGTGAAAATATCAGTCAAGGAAAAATTAACAGAAAAATGATTACATCTCAAGGGTAGTAAAAGGCTACACAATAATAAAATTATTTTATGGGGCTGGTGCTGTGGTGAAGTGGGTAAAGCCACCGCCTGCAGTGCTGGCACCCCTTAGGGGCAACGACTGGAGTCCTGGCTGCTCCACTTCCAATCCAGCTCTCTGCTATGGCCAGAGAAAGCAGAAGATGGCTCAAGTGCTTGACCCCCTGCACCCACATGGGAGACCGGAAGAAGCTCCTGACTTTGGGATCAGCACAGCTCCAGCCATTGCAGCCATCTGGGGAGTGAACCAGCAGATGGAAGACCTCTCTCTCTGCCTGTTACTCTGCCTTTCAAATAAATAAATCTTGGAAGGGAGGGAGGGAGGGAGGGAGGGAGGGAAGGAGGGCAAGCAAGCAAACTTGCTAAAAAATATTTTTACAAAGATTATAGATGCTGGGCGTTGGGCACTGCAGTTAAGCCACCACCTGCAGTGCTGGCATCCCATATGTGCACTGGTTCAAGTCCCAGCTGCTCCACTTCTGACCCAGCTCCCTGCTAATGCACTGGGAAATCAGCAGATGGCCCAAGTCCTTGGGCCCCTGCAGCCATGTGGGAGACCCAGAAACAGCTCCAGGTTCCTAACTTTGGCCTGGCCCAGCCCTGGCCACTACAGCCATTTGGGGAGTGAACCAGTGGATAGATCTCCCTCTCTCTCCCTCTGTTTAACTCTACCTTCCAAATAAATCCTAAAAAGAAGTTTATAAAGTGCTGAGGATGACAAAACAGGAGAGGAATAAAGGGTAATGAGTACAGAAAAAAAGAAAAAGAAACACCCAACATAACAAACACGCCCACTACCCCTAATGTAACCATTACTGGGATCACAATATAAGTACCAAGTGTTTTTGTTTTAAGATAAAAATGACTGTAAAGTAGGAGAACCAAGGGAAATCTTGCATGACCCCAAAGTGGGGATGGCCTCTGTGTGCCCTCATTAAATTCGTCCACAGAGAAACGCAAAACCTGCACAGTGCACAACCCACCAGGGAGAAAAGCAAAATAACAGACGGAGGGGCCGGCACTGTGGCTCAGTGCCTGGGCTAAGAGGCCGCCGGTTCGAGTCCTGGCTCCTCCACTCCCCATCCCGCTCCCTTGGAAGGCAGCGAAAGGTGGCGCCGGTGCTGGGGCCCCTGCCATCCACGAGGGAGACCCGCAAAGAGCTCCTGGCCAGCCCCGGACATCTGAGGAGTGAACCAGCTGATGGAAGGTCTCTCTCCCAGAAAAAATTTAAAGTATCTAGGGCCTACAGACGTCAAGTACCAGCTGGCTGCGCGACCTCGGGTAAATCACCCGCCCTTTCCGAGACGGCAACCCCGGAAGTCACAGGGCACGCCGGAGCACCGGGCACCTCGTGGGCACTGGCCACCCGCGGCCACTCTGTCCACCCTCGCCGCGCGCGCCGCCCAGGGACGCCGGATACTTCCGGGGCGTGGCCAGGCGCGGCGGCCCCGCCCCGCCCCGCCCCCGCCGGCCGGGCACGGTGACGCGTGCGCGCGCGCGCCCCCGCTCGCCGGGGCTTCCGGACCCGCGCCGGCGCTGCCCCAGAGCCCGGCTGCCCGTTGCCGCCCGTCGGAGGCGCGTCTGCTGACAAAGGGAGCGACCAGAGTCGTCGCAGCCGCGGCCCGCTGCGCGGCTCCCGCCCCCGGGCGTCCGGCCCCGCGGACCCCGCTCGTAGGAGGGCGCCGGGCAGCCGCGGACGCCGCCCCGAGGGTCACTCCCGCCCGCGAGTCGCCCAAGTTTGGGTTCCCACCCTGCCCGGGCACGACCCCATCCCTCAGCCCCAGGCCGCGCAGTGCTGCCGGGCGGCCCCCCTCGTACCTGCAAGGGCACGGCTTCCACTCGTGGCTCGGTGCCAGGCCGGGTCACGGCGGGGAGCGGCCAAGACGCGCAGAGACCGGGGCCCTGTCACCCACTCGCGGCTGGCGGTGGGGGAAGGGCGGCCCCCGGCGCGCTCGCAGCGCCACACATGCGCAGAATCGGGGCCTGCTCGCGGTTCCCAGGCTCCTCCGGGGGAGCGGTCTGGCGGGCCGCCGGCCTACATTTCCCATAAGCCTCCGGGGCTGTGCCGTTAGGGACTCTCAGGAAAGTCTACGCCGTGTGTGGAGAGTGGGATGAAGGCTGCCGAGTGTAACCCCTTGGCCTGGCCTGTTTCTCTCAGAGCGGGTTGGCTGTTAGAATCCACTACCCTCACCCAAAATGCAAAAACCTAACTTTTAATCTATGATAACTGCACTTAAATTTGAAAATATGTACAAGCAAGTTATCGCCCATGATTGCGCCTTCCAAACGCTCTGGGTAACACTAAGTTCACAGACTTAGGTATTTTTTTACAAAATTGGCCATAAGAATATCATGTGCTCCAACTGGCTTCCTGACCTTAAATCACAACCTCCCAACCCCCCGGTTTTATTAACGGCTAGTAGACAAGTTGCATGTAGACAACAATGATTTAGGTTGGAAAACGTGCATGTGACTGTGACCAGGTATGAAAATTGTGTCCCTGTTTAAGGTGTACAGTTTGACAAATTGATAAAGCCTTTGGAATATTCACCACAGGCTGGTTAACATAGCCATCCATCACCTCACAGAGTCGCCGTTTTGTGTGTGTGTGCCGAGAACACATAAAACCTCAGCACATGTCGAGTGTGCCACACATGCTGCTAACCACGGCCACCCCGTTGGACATTACTGCTCCAGAGCATATTCAGCTCGCATAGCGGAGAGTTTGTATCCCGTTGCCAACATTTCCACCTTCCCCCACCCTCCAATCCCTTTTTAAATTTTTAGAGCAGGGGCCCAGTGCTGTCCCTTATAGGTGCCAGTTCAAGTCCTGGCTGCTCCACTTCCAATCCAGCTCCCTGCTAATGCACCTGGGAAATCAGCAGAAGATGGCCCAAGTGCTTGGGCCCCTGCACCCACGTGGGAGACCCAGAATAAGCTGCTGGCTACTGGCTTCAGCCTGGCCCAACCACAACCATTGAGGCCATTTAAGGTGTGAACCAACAGATAGAAGATCTCTCTCTCTCTCTGCCTTTCAAATACATAAAATTTTTAGACCAATTCCAAGTTCACAGTAGAACCCAAGCAGAAAGCAAGCACAGGGAATTCCCATATATCCTCTGCCATAACAAGGCCACAGCCCTCCTCCCTGCCTCCAACACCCACCCTGGAGCAGAACTGAGTTACAACTCAAGCATCTACCCCCGTGCGTTATCAGCACCCAGAGCCCAGAGCTTACATCACAGTTCACTCTTCATGTGGCGCATTCTATGGGTTTTGACAAATGTACAGTGATGCGTGTCTACCATTACAGTATCATCCAGAACACTCTCATTGCCCTAAAAATCCCCTGTGCTCAATCTACTTGTCCCTCCTTCTTCCCAGACCCAGGCCGTCTCCATAGTCCTGCCTTTTCCATTGCTTCATATGGTTGGAGTCATACAGTGTGTAGCCTGTGCGGGTTGGTGTCTTTCACAGATGAACCCATTTGTACTATCATCCTATATATAGGTCCCTGATAACGACTTAGACTGGTCAACAAATACACCGCTTATGGTAACTCTGAGAGAAGTTGCTGAAATAGTCACAGAATGAAAACCGGGGATTTGATAGGTTAATGTGCATTTAAGTTTCCTGCATGTCTTCATGGCTTGACAGTTCGTTTCCTTTTAGTGCTGCATAATATTCGACTGCCTGGGCATACCACAGTTTATCTTTCCATTCTGCTGCAGGATACCCAGGTTACACCAAGCGTTGGCTCTTCTAAATAAAGCGGTTATAAACAGCTGTCTGCAGGCTGTTGGGTGCGTAAAGTTTCCAACCACTCTGGATAAATAGAATGGTTGCCGGATGGTGTGCTATGAGAAAGTTTAGTTTAATAATAGCCGGCCAAACTGTCTTTCAAAATAGCTGTACCACGTCACACTCCCGGCATCAATGAATGAAAATTCCTGCCTCTGCGTATCCTCACCGGAATTTGGTGGTGTCGGTGCTCTGGATCTGGCCTTTCTAATCGGTGTGTGGCAGCGGCAACTAGCTTTGAATTAAAACAATGCATGGAGTGAGTGTTTGGCTCAGTGGTTAAGACACTGCTTGGGACACCAGCAACCCACATCTGAGTGCCTGGTTCAAGTCCTGGCTCCTCCACTTCCGACCCAGCTCCCTGCTGATGTGTACCCGGAGGCAGCAGGTGACAGCCAAAGTACTTGGGTCCCTGCCACCCACATGGGAGACAAGGGTGGAGTTCCTGGCTCCTGGATTTAGCCTGACCCAGCCTGGCAGTTGTGAGCATTTTGGGAGTGAAGCACTGGCTGTAAGATTGCGATCTAATGAAAAAAATAAATAAAAACAAACCCTTCCATTAGAAAAATAGGCTAGAGGTGTGAATAAACAATGAGAGGAAATACTTGTCAGAAATGTTTCTCTTTACTAAACAGGGATAAGTCACATTGGTGTGTGTCTGTAACACGGTGCAATGTAACGGGCACTTCTGCACTGGGAGAGCCCTCCCCATAACCTGTAATCCATGTTTAATCTGACAAACCATGAGACAAATCCCACCAAAGGACAACCTTCAAAATATCCGACCCGGGGCCAGCACTGTGGCATAGCGGGTAAAGCCACCTCCTGCAGTGCCTGCATCCCATGTGGGTGCTGGTTTGAGTCCCAGCTGCTCCACTTCCAATCCAGCTCTCTGCTATGGCCTGGGAAAGCAGTAGAAGTTGGCCCAAGTTCTTGGGCCCCTGCACCTGTGTGGGAGACCCAGAAGAAGCTCCTGGCTCCTGATCGGTGCAGCTCCAGCTGTTGCATCCAATTGGGGAATGAACCAACAGATGGAAGACCTCTCTCTCTCTCTCTCTCTCTCTCTCTCTGCCTCTCTCTGCAACTCTACTTTCAAATAAATAAAACAATCTTTAAAAAAATAAAATAAAAGTTTATATAAATAAAATTCAAACTTGATTTTAAAAAATAGGAAAAAACTATTATGATATCACTTTTTATACTTGGCCAATATTTAAAGAGAAACAATGCCCAGCTTGGGAGTTATTTGTAAGATATTTTTATACAATTCTGATGGGACCATAAAACACAAAATCTTTCCAAAGGCTTCATTATATCAAAATTTAAAATGATAAATGATCCTAACATTTAATCTGACAGAGATTATATTTGCAAAGCATTGGAAATGACCTAAAAATCTTTCAATAAGTCTAAGCAAAATAAACTTGTGATATGCAAATAGAATTCGAAGATATGCTGAAAATGAGAACCCGTAACCACATGGGAGCTGTCTAATCCTCTGAGAAATGAAAAACTGCACAGCGCACAAGAATGTACAGTGTGTGATCCTAGACCCAGCACTAAGACGGAGGGAAAACACCCAACCCCCACCAACACTTCTCTCTCTCCCTCTCTCGCTCTCTGTTTCACTCACACACACACAGACACAGGATAATTTCCCCTCACCACCTCATGCACAGCAACACGGAGCAAGTTCTTTGTGAGTGGGCTTTGCTTTCTGAAGGCCTTGTAAAATTTAGAGTCACATTCGTTTCTCCTAATTTCCCTTTAGAAATAAAGGAAGGTATTTTTGGAAAAAACAATGTATATTGTAATTTAAACGCTGCTTTTCCTTCTCTTTGACTTTCCACTGTCACAGTGCTCGCTTCTCATTCAACTCCTGCCATCCTAGCGGTGGGTTAACGGCCTTCATAGCATGCTGCAGTGTCCCACCCTTCTTTGGTAAGTGTATTTGAGAGAGAGGGAATGACTCCGAGAGTCCCATCTGCTGGTTCACTCTACAAATGCCCCCAGTGCAGGGGACTGAAGGCAGGAGGCGGGAACTCAGAACAGATCTCCCACAGGAGTGGCTGGGGCCGGAGCCCAGGAGCCGCCCTCTGCAGCCTCAGGAAACTGGAATCAGAACCCAGACACTCTGATTAGGGACACGGGTGCCTTAACAGCTAAACACACACCCCACAGAATTTCACTCTGTTCCACCACACACTGCACGCTTGGATGACACCACTGTTGGATGTAAAGATGTTATAATAATGGCAACAATTGAAAGTACAGCAGATGCCCCCAAAGCATCAGTGACAGTGTGGCTTGTTCATAGGATATCAACAATTTTTCTGTTTATCTGCTTGCTAAGTGAGGTCACCATGTGGCACAACCATGTATCATGACACATGGTCACATCAATGACCTTTCTGTCCCCTGTTATGTTAAAACCCAGAGGTTTTTCTTACACTCTGAATAGATCCTTTATCTGGGCGTGTTTTGTGACATCATGCCTGGATCAGATCTCGTAAATGTGGATACGTTTTATTGCACAGCATCAAACTACCACGTACACAGTCTCATGGGAACAGCTGTAAGAACGGGAAGCAGATACAGGGTCTTGTCAAATTCTGCTTCACACAAAGGCTCGCGTCGTCATTGAACAACAAATACTCTCCGTGGTTTTCCTGGAAGTGAGTGGCAATTCATGTTATTTGGTTTTGTAAAAATGTGCCAGACGTGCAGTCGGAAGAGCCGTGGTTCAATATCAATCTTTTAAGTAAAAACAGCTCCATTCGAAATGCAGCCATTCAGCTCGTGAGAAGGGCTTTTTCTGGAGACAGCGGGGTTCTGTGCACAGCAGAAGGGCCCTCTCTGCAATGTCCCATTCCATCAGGCAAATTTTCAGAGGACCTGGACTCCACAGGTGGAGACATGATGCGATCGATGGCGTTTACCTCTTCACCAGGGTCGCTCTGAAGCGACGCTGGCGTTTCTTGTTCGATGCCGCTGCCTTCCAGACTGTGCGTCAGCAGCGTGGCCCACCAGCTGCCCTGCACATCAGTGCAAATGTCAACTCAGTGCAATAGCAAAATAACACTTGACTATTATTACTAAAATAATATTCTTGGCCCTCTGGGTCCCCTGAAAGGGCCCTGGAGACCCCAGGAGTTTGTGAACCACCCATCAAGCCTAATCACG